ATCCAGTAGCATGAAGAGGCACTAAAAACATCAAGAATAAAAATGCAAACGAGTTCCATGGTCAAGTCCAAAGGGAGTGACTGAACTTGTGTACAATCCAAAGCCAGATCTAAAGACCCAAAATAATTTGGAAACAAGGAAGGATCTGAATAGGAGCAAAATAAAGGGTCATCAAAAATTTAATGGGAGGTAGAAAGAGCACACTTTTACTGATGTCCAGGAACAAAAAGCTTGAGCGTATGAGGCACAAGACTTGAGAAAACTGTGTTTATAGTATAATTTCTGAGTGTTGTGTGTACTCATTACATCTGAGATGTCATTGTTGCTTGATCTCAGTCAATAGCTCTAGGAAGTGTATGAGTGTGTGTGTGTGTGTGTGTGTGTGTGTTTGTATACATATGTAGGGAAAGTAAGTTCATATTCATATGTCCAATTCAAATGTAATGTTATATATTTAAGGTATTTGGTATTGTATTTTTCTTTTACTCTTATGTTAAAGACACTAATTCCTACTCAAATAAAGTTGTTTAGTTAGTATGTTTTATCATTAATTTATAGAGTAAAGTTTAAGATTTCTTTGTGGCTCTTCTTTTTCTAAAAATACATTCTCCCTAAGATGTACAGAAATCTGCATTCAAAAGTCACATTAATTATCTTATCTGTAATATTATTGTTTAGTTATCAATTTTTACATTGCAGATGACCCCTAAATTAATAGCTTAATAAAAAAAAATTTACTTTGCCCATAAATCTACTTGTTTCTTTTCCATGCAGTATCAACTGAGGTGACTCAAAGGACAGATGGGCACTGAATTCTTATCGAGGCCTGATCACTTCATTTCTGGCTGTTGATGTTACCTGAGACACTTACAAGTGGTCTCTGCATTTGTTGCTTGGTTTTCTCATGAAAAGTTTTTTTTCATGATGGCTCTTACATGCTGAATTTCTTACATGATGGCTCAGGCCTCTATAGTGCACGTCTGGGGACACAGAGAGCTAGATGGAGGTTGTGACAATTCTTACGATTTAGCCCCTTCCTCCATATTCTGTTTGTTAGAAGCAAGTGACTAAGACCAGCCCACATTCAAAAGAAAGGTAATTAGACTCTACATTTTGAAGGCAGGAGTTTCAAAAAATTTTCAAAAATTTGTAAAATTTGTAAACTTGTTTTAAGACAGCTATGTTACCAATCTGATAAAGTTAAATTCATTTCTTTCTACTTTTTTTCAATTTTAGGTTTCCTTTCTTCTGTACCTTTAATTTCAGTTTTTAAATATAGTGCACAAATACCAAAACTTTATATTTACTCAGAAAATCTTTCTCCCATGACTACACCTTACACCGTATTTTACACACTTTTCTTTACAGTTTTCATTTTTGCATAAATAAGAAAACATTTATCTATAAAAATTCCCATTTATCTACTTTTCTTATGCAAAAAATTATATTATATATCATATACCTTTTTGAAGAAGTTATTTATTTCAAGACCAGATAAGGGAAAATCCAAGGTAAACCTAGGCCACTGTTGTGCCAAAGCAAGGACAGATTTGGGGACTAGTGGGAGAGGGTCAAAAGAAATAAGACACAATAGGGAGGAATTTTTAACAGCCACATATAAGACAATTTGTGCATCAAGTAATAATAATCATATTAGTAATAATTATAAAATAGTACATAAACAAGAATATTTGCATCCATAGCGATAGTTATAAAAAGAAAAACTAAAAGTTATAAGCCACCATTATAAGCAACTATCATAACTTTTCTTTTTTGTGAAAATTGGTATAGGAAAATAATTAAGGATTTAGTCACCTTCTGAGACAGAAAGCATTGACAGATACATTTGTAAAGGATGGGCAATGGATATTCAGACAGTGCCCAAAGGATGAAAATTTGCACCAATTACAGTGAGGCAACCTGACTTACGTACCTACTGGTGAAGTGCTAACATCAACTATATAGGCACTCTTGCCAAAAATATTAACCTGAATCTAATCAAAGCTTTAGTTGTACTTCCTTTTAGAAAAAACATATAGTGGATAGAGAAACAAGTGAGATGATTTCACGAGGAAACCATGCGGCACATCCAGAATGTGGGACGGTCTAGCCTTATCAGTCATATTTTTTCAAAGTAGTCAATGTCATAATTAACAGAAAATTTGGAGAAATAAAACTAAATGAAATGAATAAAATGTGGTTGGGTACTGGTTCAAAAC